TATTTCTTTTCTCTCTCTCTTTTTTGGAGGGGGAGGGGCTTCAAGACAGAGTTTCTCTGTGGCTTTGGAGGCTGTCCTGGAACTCCCTCTGTAGACCAGGCTGGCCTCAAACTCACAGAGATCCACCTGCCTCTGCCTCCCGAGTGCTGGGATTAAAGGCATGCACCACCACCCGGCTTCACTGAATGTTTTTTGACCTCCAAAATTCATGTTAAGAAGTTGGGTATGGGACTGGAGAGGTGGTTCAGGAGTCAAGAGCACTTGCTGCTCTTAAGGAGAACCCAGGTTTAGTTCCCAGCAGCCACATGGCAACTCATAACCATCTGCAACCCAAGCTGCAGGGGATCCAATAGTCTTCTCAGGTCTCTTCAGGCACTGTATGCACATAGCATATATAAATACACGCAGACAAACATTCATGCACACAAATAAACAAGTTTTAAGAAGAGATTGGTTGCCAAGAGTCAGAAGTAAATATGCTTGCTGTCAAGCCTGATGACCTGAGTTCAATCCCTGAAACCCACATTACAAAGAGAACCTACTTCCATAAGTTATCTTCTGACTGCCATACCATAAAAAAAAAGAAAAAATTTTCTAAAGAAGTTGAGTGTGGTCAGGAAATAGAGCCTTTAATACCAGCACCTGGGAGGCAGAGGCAGGTGGATCTCTGTGAGTTCGAGGCCAGCCTGGTCTAGAGAGTGAGTTCCAGGACAGGCTCCAAAAAGCTACAGAGAAAAAACAAACAAAAAATTGAGTGTGTTAGTATATTCCTCAAACCTCCTAACACTTAGGAGGTTTGAGGTAGGTGGGGTATTTTGAGGTCAGCCTCATGACTCTGCAAAAAAACAAAAATCAAAACAACAACAACAAAAAAACCCGAGAATATCGAGATGGCTCAGTGATTAAAAGTGCTTGCTGCCAAATTTGATCTAAGAACCCCGAATCACATAAAAAAACCATGCACTCACAAAATAAATAAATGTAAATTTAAAAAATCATGTTCAAATTTAATCCCCAATGCAACAGTATCCAAAGTTGATATGGTTATCAGAGTTCTTCCCTCAGGGATGGGATTAGAACTTTTTTTTTTTTTAATTGTTACTGTTTTGTTTTTGGAGACATAAGTTCTCTATAGACCAGGCTGGCCTCAAACTCACAGAGATCCACCACCACACTCTGCCTTCCCAGTGCTGGGATTAAAGGGGTACATCACCATACCCAGCTTCCATCTGGTGCTTTCAATAGTGAAGATTATTTCTACTTGGGTAGAAAGACTCACTGAAATGGATTTCAGGTGATCAGGTCCTTCAATAATGGCAGCCACGGAGCTGAAGAGTTGATTTGGTGGTTAAGAGCATTTACATGGTGGTGGTGGGGGGGGCTGGAGAGATGGCTCAGTGGTTAAGAACACCGACTAGTCTTCCAAATGGACCTGGGTTCAATCCCAGCATCCACATGGCAGCTCACAACTGTCTGTAACTCCACGATCTGACACACACATGTATGCCTCACACATACATGCAGGCAACGCACATAAGGTAATAATTAATTAAAAGAATTTATTTTAAAGAGTATTTGCAGGGGACCTGGAATTAGTTCCCAGCACCCACAAACTCTAGTTCCGTGGGATAGAACACCTTCTGCTGATCTCCAAGGGCACTGCACACACATGGTACACATACATGCAGGCAAAACACTTATACACAGAAATAATCTTAAAAAAAAATAATGAATGCCATCTGTATTGAGGGAAACTTGAATATGGTGGAGATCCAGTAGGAATTTAAGTATAAAAGGAAAGGGCAGTGATGGCACACGCCTTTAATCCAAACAGAGGCAGAGGCAGGCAGATTTCTGTGAGTTCGAGGTCAGCCTGGTCTACAGAGAAACACTGTCTCAAAAAATCAAGGAAAAAAAATAAAGGAAAGTCTTATTATCGGTTTTGGTTTTTTGAGACAGAGTTTACTCTGTGAAACAGTCCTGGCTGTGGAACTCACTCTGTAGACTGGGCTGGCCTCGAACTCAGACATCCATCTGCTTCTGCCTCCTGAATGCTGGGATTAAAGGCATGTGCCACCACTGGCCAGCTATAATATTCACATCTATTGTCTTCCCTAAAAGGGGAAGAGTGCCTGAGCTCAGAGGGTAGGGATTTTTGAGTTTAGTATATTAGTGAAGGCACTAAATAATCTGTAAAGCCCTAACTTAGGAGCTGATCTTATTTTTTTGTAGCTCCCTTTGGGCTGACTGCCTCATACTCATTTATCAGTTTAAGGAAGATACTGGAAAGGACATAGGCATGGCTGATCCCCTCTACAGAGTCTCTTTGATCCATCAGATGTATCCTGGAGTCTCCTTTCAAGTCATACGGATATGTTGAACTACTATTTTGGAGGGATTTGCATCACGACTACCAGTTTTATTACCAAGGAAACACACATTCTGCCCCATCTTCAGCATCCGGCCCCTCCCCAAAAGCTTTCTCTTAACCTCGGATCACCATCGTAAGTCTGAAGAGGCTGATGGGACAGGTGCGTTTTGAGCAAAACTCTGGCAGTACTGTGAAGTTCTAAGGGCGGAGAGAAGTTCTACCTTCACTCATGACTCTTGGTAATTATTTCAAAAACAGAACAGTGAGAGCTAGAAACCTGTGTAGATCTTCAGATGCCTGCTGACACCTTGAAGCAGGTTGAGCTGGGCTTGAACTCCAGGCCTTAAAGGCTACGTCAGGATTCGAAACTTTGAGATCTCCTTTTCCGGGAGACAGATGCCCACCCAGCCTTCGCTCCTCACCGAAGGCCTCATCTTTTTTGGAGACCTAAGGAGCATCGGACCCGGGTAGCACAGCGTAGGTACTCGCCGGTGCCTCGCAGGTTGGTTCTGGAGACCTGGACCACTCACACAGCAGGCTGCCAGACCGTAAACACCCGACAAGGCCAGACGTTCCACGTCGCCCCGCCG